GAATTGGAATTGTAATTATATTTTTCCTGTTTCGGTGGTCCAAACTTCACTAAGAACCCGTAGTAACATATTCTTGCCAAAACTGGATAATTTACTCAACATTGGATAGTGAATATTGTCCGCACCCGGTGTAGTGTTCAAATTTGTTTTTAGTGCCAAAAGAAGCTCCTGCATTGCGAAAGGACCTTCCAGTACATTCATTTCTTGTGCGCTTGGAATAATTACCTCATTCTGAATAAAGTGTTAATTTATTATTGTTAATTTAATATTGTTAAGGAAAAGGATTTTATTTGCACGACTCTATTTTTCAAAGCTTTTACTTTGTCCCAAATGTATTTAGATGAAGTTGATCTTGTAAAAGAATTACAAAATTCAATCCACTTGTCCCGTTTTTTCTTTTTGAACGTTATACGACATTTCGCTAAAATTCTTTTATATTTGATGTATATAGCCTAAACTGGAGGCCTTCTGTATTTTCTATTAGCTTCTAACTTCATCTTATTGAATTTCTCACACTCTTCATCCCACCAAGGCGTTGACAAATATCTATCTTTTTACTGAAATAAGGTCTTGATATGGGAATTGCTAACAAAACCGCCTGATTTATGCATTTAACAAACTTACCGTACGTAGATATGATGGATCTTTATCAAATATCAATTCTGACAATAACTTATCTGTCACTTGCTCATATTTCTTCCAGTGAGCATTTTTGATCTTCCAAATATGCCTGTTTCTAATAGTACTGTTATTCATATTTATCTTACTCAGTCCAATCCGAACTGATGTACTAAGGTGGTCCGATCCCAAAGTTTTATCTGTGACGTGCCGTTCCGCACTGAGCATCACTGATGGGTATATATTATAGATAAATCTACCGCAGAAGGATTTCTGTCATGTCTTCTCAATAACGTAGGCGATCCGTCATTCTGAACACATAATCTCTCTGAGTTAATGGCTTTGCTTAAAATTATTCCATCATGATTATTATGAATGCTGCCAAAACTCGTATGATGCACATTGAAATCACCTGCAATTAGAAAAGGCGGCGATATGTTTCCGAATAATGTAGTCCAATAGGTAAGATTTGTTCTGTGTCCTGGAGCACAGTAAATCGCAAAAATATTAAACACAGTACCATTATTGACTATGATTTTGGCCCCACAAACTTGAATTTTTGTGTTGCTGTATATCTCGGTATTTATGGTTTCGGAACGTAGTCTACGGCAAATATATAAAGCTACACCTCCGAATCCATCGTCTCTATTGGTATGTGTTATAGAGTATCCGGATAAATCATATTTATATTCCTTTTTCATCCATGTTTCAGATAAAATTACAATATCAATTTGATTGGCTTACATATAGACCTCCAATTGCAACTTCCTTGAATATAGTGATCTAATGTTAATTTGAAAAATTTTGATCATAAGGATATATCTGAATATAAAATCGTTTATTTTTGATTTTTTAAACACTATGCTAAGTAACATGCCAATCAAAGAATACTACAAGCATAATACTCAATATTGTATAAGGTAATGACACTCATATTTACGGTTTACCAGATTCATAAATCACTATCATCTTTATCAAGTCTAAGTTGTGACCTCTCCATCCTTTTTAATATCTCAACTAATATTTTATAGTGTTCAGTATTGTTCGGCATATAAATCTGTTTAATGTTATCTATAAAATCTTCGAGTAAATCGATGGAACTATCTTGATTACCAATGATATTACTACTATCTTAATTACCAATGATATTACTACTATCTTCTTCCTGTTCATGTTCAGTGTTTGTTTTCAAGCGTTTACTTGGGTTATATTTGGGTTCGGTGCTATGTTTTTTAGTTGTTACTCGTTCATTTTCAATATTATTTTTCGATGGAAATTTTGGAATCGACCTAATTTTGTTTGAAGATTTATGGTTAAACCTTTTTGGTTTATTGAACTGTATAGTATTAGTATACTCAGTTTCCCCTACTTCCTCTAAATCTGATAATATTTCGAATCTATTTTTGTCCAAATTGTTATCTGATTTGCCCGCATTACAACTCTGTTCTGTGTGAAAAACTGGAAAATCTCTATCCCAGTCAGTACTAGCATACTCTGTTCTCACTACTCTAGCATATTTATTTTGGTATAAAGCGTTTTTTGCTTCATGGAAGGCTATATTTTGCCATGCCATCATTTCTTTTATTAGTTTATTCTTTATTAATTCCGGTCACTCTTTGTTATTTGCAGGGTGGCTTCCTCTGCATAATGCACATTCCACTTTTTGCTCATTACATTCAACTACATTATGTTGGCCGGAACATTTCATGCATCTTTGATCTCCTTTACACTGTTCCTTTATATGATCAAATCTGCAGCATCTATAACATTGAACAATCTTTTGAATAAATGGTCTGACCGCATTTAACTGAATGGATTGCCACTTTGTTAGGTAACACTGTATCTTCAAACGTTATTTTAACACATTGTGATTTAACCTCCATTGCGTCAGTATTTTTTGCTTTCATACGTAAGACTTCAAGGACAGGTATGTCGGATTCAATCGCGTCCAGAATTTCTTCTTCTGATAATTCAGCAAACACGTCAAATATTATACCTTGTCTGGTAAGTAAATATTTCGGGATATATGCTTTGAGATTTTTTTTTTCAAAATCCTTTCATCTAGTATATTATTTGCAGTATTAGCATTTTTAAATGGCAATTTCACTTTGTTTTTCCCCGCAACTGAAACTTCAAACAAATGTGTTTTAAAGTGTGAACCTGAATTATGCATTGTGTTTCCTAACGCCATAGGGTGTAGACGACCTATATTTTTATCTATTGATTCGATTTATATTGAGTCAATATCTTCAAATCGATTTATATTGTTCAGAATCCTAATTTTATTTAATTTATTCACTTCATCTGAGACTGTAACTTCATTTTCATTAATATCATTAACTGCTTTATTATCATTTTTATTCGATTCAATATTTGTTTCAATTATTTCTTCGCTTACACTCACCACCTTCTTGTTTGTTTCACTGTTGGTTTGTTTTGATAATCCTTTTTCTCTTCTACTTGCTTTAGTTATACTGCCATTAGCTTTCTTGTCGCCTTTACCGATCTTTCTAATTTGATATCCACCACTTTTACAACTTAAACTTTTTTTCTTTAATTTATTCTCATTAGCGATCTTTTTACTTGAATTCTCACTCACTATATCACAGACTTCCATATCTACGTTTAATTTGTTTATGTAAGTGTTCGACGCTTCTGGTATCGTTGCTCCGATTGCAGAAACGCAGGTATTAGAATTCGGATCGGTCGGCCGGCCGCCCGTTCACAATAATATTTGTTATTTAATCGATGTGTACTCTTCGGCTGCTACACAAGAGTAGCAGCCGAAGTAGCCCAAAGAATTATTAATGAAGGAGAAGTTTATGTTTTCATCAATAAATCCGATTCGCTAATTTTATGTTTTCTCGACGTTTCAAGCCATTCTGAATCGAACGAGACCAAATTTGCAAAAGTATTTGCGTGTGTGTGTGTGTGTGAATTTAAAAACCATTCGATGTATCGCGATGAGGACTAGCGTTTATCGTTGTTTTGATATTTGTCAAAATTAGACCTTTTATCGACGTTTGCTTAAAAACGCCTTAACCGATTTCAGAAATTTAAAACCCATTTGATGTGTCCCAATGAGAATTATCGCTTTTCAGTTGTGTGCGACGATCGGCCGAGCCGTTCCTTTGAAATTTGGAAAAAATGTTGAATTTTTGGTCCACATTTAAGCTCATACTACTGAATCGATTTTAAAAAATCAAAAACTGTTCGAAAGATATTAGTTGGGAATGATTCTGATTAGTTTTAGGTGAAAATCTACCGAGCCGTTTTCTTGTAAGTCGTTGTTGAGAAAAAATTTGAGCCGATTTTTATGAAACTTTTTTTATGATATATATCATGGTCTTATACAACTTATTGAAATATTATGTCCTTACGACAAGTAGTTTAATTTTAAAAATTCATCAAAGTTTGAGAAATTAAGTAGTTTATTTTGACGTTTGTTAAAAGTAAAATTAGACGATTTACTAGGTATAACGATAGAGTACTTGACCTTAATAAACATACTAAATCATTAAAGTCCTACGGAAACTGGTTCAATTATAAAAATTATTGATTTTTGAAAATTTGCTTTTAGAAAATACTCAATACTACTGTTTCTTGCGTAGTCTTCTTATAGGCGGATTATCAAGCATGTGAGCCAAAGTTGCATTAGGATGATCGAGAATTTTAGCATGATGTCCAGTACTACAGTATCATTGATGACATCCACTACGAAAGGGATGTTGAGGTCATCATGTATGATTTTGTTGCTGACAAACCACGGGGCATTAGTAATCGCCCGTAGTGTTTTAGATTGTAATCGTTGAATAAGTCCCACATTTGATTTACTACAACATCCCCACAGTTGAATTCCATACGTCTACACAGGTTTAATTGTGGTCTTATATATTAGAAGTGTGGGTATCTTCCACATATATTTCCACTTGAATAACTCAAATATTATAATATTATTTATTATATTAGATATTATTACATTGTTATATTAGATATATTTACATTGAAATTATAATTTATTATTTTTTTCTTCTGGCTGGCTACTGTCCGTGGTCCCAGGTCAGTAGTTGTTGACTCCTTGAAGTTGACCTGCGTTTCTGCAATCGGAGCAACGATACCAGAAGCGTCGAACACTTACATAAACAAATGGTTTGAATGGTTGAGATGAAAGAGGATTAGTCCGTGTTGCGCTATGCGTTAAATACCCTCAGCTACAAGGAGTGGTGATATCTAAAAGGTATATCGTGGTGCCATCTGGTGCAACATAGGCGGGTCCCACAAGCGGTGACACAATTGAAGTTGAGGCATAACTGGTGACTCTATCAGTTGTCAAACCTCTTATATAGATGAATTCCACATGAGTTTTCCGCGGAGACTGGAGGTCATGATAGGCGAAAATGAACTTTTCGGCCTGATCGTGTGAAGTAGTTGGTGATGATTGTTTGGTCTACTGGATCTGCTATGATGTAGGCTGATTTGATGCGATCGATGGACACCCGTGTATTGCCTTTCTGTGTTCGTATGTTTACTGTTTTATCATCTTTCTTAAGAACTTCGTATGAACCTTGATATGGTTGTTGGAGTGACTTCCTGATAGTATCGTCGCGGAGGAAAATATGCGTGCATGTTTGTAGGTCCTGAAAAATAAATGGTTTGTTGTTTGTGTGATTACTATATTTACTTGGTTGAAGATGCGCTACGTGTTGTCGAAGTCTCGAGAGTAGATCAGTCGGATGTCTTAAATTTTGAGAATTTTTATGTAATTCAAAATTTTCTCCAGGAAGGCGGAGTGGTTCACCATACACCATTTCAGCTGCTGATGTCTTGATATCAGGTTTGTAAGCGTTTCGAATGCCTAGAATTAGCGGAAGTGCTTCCAACCATGTGTTGTCTTTGTAACACATTATCGCAGCTTTGAGTTGTCGATGGAAGCGTTCTATTAGTCCGTTGGAACTTGGATGATAGCTGATTCAAATTGAGTACCTCGATCCGTCGTTATTTTGATTGGAGCTCCAAAGCGGGATATCCAGCATGATAAAAATCCAACCGCTATTTCTTCTGCAGATATTCCTTGTAGTGGGTATACTTCTGGCCATTTGGTAAATCGATCAATGGCTGTCAGACAATATTTATAAGAGTTAACAGGAGGTAAACGACCAATTATATCGATGTGTACATGTGCAAATTTTGCTGTTGGCAAGGGAAATGTTCTAGGTGAGGTGCGTGTGCATGTCGTGTTATTTTTGACTTTTGACAATCTTGACAAGCTTTAGCCCAATCGTGACAGTTTTTCTGTATAGATGGCCATATGTACCGTGCAGTAATAAGACGCAAAGTTGCTCGTATCCCAGGGTGACTCAAACCATGTAATGAGTTAAATATTACTCTCCGCAGCGGTGCCGGGATATAAGGTCGTGGCTGAGCCTTCGCCGTGCGCAAAACAACTTTATGTGTGTGCCTGGTACTGGAGTTTCTTCTAATTGTAGTTTGGTGTCTTGCATCAAAAGGCGTTTAAGTTCTGCATCATCTTTCTGGTGTTGTGCTAGGATTTCGAAATTAAGTAAATTATCTTTTGTAATGGCTTCGACTCGTGACAGTGTATCAGCTATGATATTTTTCTGGCCTCCGATGTACTTTATGTCTGTTGTAAACTGTGAAATAAAATTTAGATGGCTTATTTGAACTGGCGGAAGTTTTTCATGGCGTTGGGTGAATGCAAAAGTTAATGGTTTGTGACCAGTGTGTGCATTGATGTGCTTCAAGGATGTGCCTGAAGTGCTGCACAGCAAGATATACCGCTAGCAATTCTCTGAAATAAGCTGGCCATGTCGATTGACGTGGAGTCAACTTTATAGAGAAGTATGCTAGGGGTTGCCATTTGTTTTCAACCAATTGTTGCAAACAGGCGCCTACTGCCTGCTGGGAAGCATCTGTAAATAATCCTAATTTAGCACCATGATTTGGATGTTGGAGTAGCGTTGCTTCCGTAAGTTTGTCTTTGCAGGATTGAAATGCTTTTTCTAGTTCTGGAGTCCAGGAGATAGATTTATTGCCTTTGATAGATGATATTGCATCATGAAGTATTGCTTGGTTTGAAGCTGCGTTTGGTATAAAACGGCGATAATAATTGAGCATAAAAATCGTCTAACCGACTTTGCGGTTTCTCGACGAGAAAAATTCGGCAGATTTTCGATACGTTCAGATGGTGGCTTGGTTCCTGTTGCGGAAATTTCGTATCCCAAAAACTGAATTTGCGGGACACAAAAGGTACTTTTTATCTGATTTATTACAATTCCATGGTGGTGAAGGCGTTCAAGTATTGTTCGTAAATGCACTCGAAATATCATCTATGTAATCAAAACAAAAATTTAATCCTATTAACACTTTGTCTATGAAGCGCTGAAAGGTCTGTCCTGCGTTTCTGAGACCGAAAGACATGAATGGAAACTTTGGTACGTTTTTTTCTTCTACCGGTATTTGCGTGTATGCCTTCACTAAATCTATAACAGAAAATGTTTTACATTCCTGGAGATTTGTTGAGAAATCGTGTATGTGACGGACTGGATATCTATTGGCACTGTCCTCGCATTAAGTGCGCGATAGTCGCCACACGGTCGCCACCCTCCATCTTTCTTTTTGACCAGGTGTAATGTGAAAAACCAAGGACTTTTTGATCGACGTGCTGTGCCGCCTTGCAGCATTGATTCGAATTCATCCTTGGCAGTCTGGTATCGGTCTGGTGCTAGACGACGTGGACGGCATGTTACAGGTGGGCCTGGCGTTGAAATAATGGAATGTCTTGTGCTGTGGAGTGGTTGACGCAGTGTGCCGGATGGTTTGACTGAAAATTCTGATAGTAGTTTTTGAATTGTCGGATCCTTGTGTATGAGTGTTTTAACGTTCTCTTGGTGTGATGTATGAGTTACACATGCGGTGTGTAACCCAATTTCTCCATCGACCAGGCGTTTATTTCGGCAATCTGGTAGAAGCTCAAAAAATGCTAAGAAATCCGAACCTACTATTGGTGTATCCACGTCTGCGATAATGAATTTCCAGTCAAACTGTCTTCGCAGCCCGAGATTAAGACGCAAATTCTTCAGTCCGTACGTTTGAATTGGAGTACCATTGGCAGCTTGTAGTTCATACTCTGATTTGTTGCATTTACTGAAAGCTCTCCTAGGGTAGCACGAAACGTCTGAACCGGTATCTACAAGAAATTTAATGTTATTGTTCTTATCAAAAATAAAAAGGCGACCTTTAGTGGATTGATGATCAGTTGTCGTACCTGTTTTGGTAATTCCTCCAGGGTGTTTTTAGTGGATGTCGGTAGATTGATTGTGATGCAGCTGCTTTGTTGAGTCTACATGCGGGACCAACGGTTGAGCTTCTAGTATTTTGTCCGCTGTGATTGCCAATTTATCTAAAGGTAGGTCACTTTGGATTTGTAAAATGCCGCGAACGAAAGCAGGCAGCCGTTGTACCCATAAAGATTTGAATATTGTTTCACCTATTTTTATGTGACCGGCCAAGGAGCGAAGATGTCACAAAACTTGTGATGGGCTGCGATTCCCTAATTCTTCTTCCGAAAGTAGCTGTTCTTCCTAGTTTCTTCTGATGCGCATAGGCTGCTTACGAGGACTTATTTTAAATGAGAATAGGGATTTTCTGCTGGTGGCTTACGAATCACGTTCTCCACTTTGCGTGCGTGCTTTTCTTCCAGGTGGGCGACTACATAAAACAATTTTGTGTTTTCGTTTGTTGTCGAAGCAATTTCGAACTGTGCTCCTACTTGCGCAAACCATAGCTCCGGGCTATTGTTCCAAAACGGTGGTATTTTTACTCGGTTAATTGTGTCGTTTGCGGATACATGATTTGAGGCAGGTTCAGATGCGGAACCCTTCGGTATCTTCAAAGGCGTTTTATCAGAATTCTTTCCTGATTTTTCCATCTTCAGATCAGAATATCACGTCGGGGTCACCAATTATGTAGATTTCTTCCACTTATATTTTCACTTGAATAACTCAAATATTATAATATGATATTATTTATTTTATTAGATATATTTACATTGAAATTATAATTTATTATTTTCTTCTTCTGGCTGGCTACTGTCCGTGGTCCCAGGTCAGTAGTTGTTAACTCCTTGAATGGTTGAGATGAAAGAGGATTAGTCCGTGTTGCGCTATGCGTTAATTACCCTCAGCAACAAGGAGTGGGGATGTCTAAAAGGCATATCGTGGTGTTATCTGGTGCAACGTAGGCGGGTCCCACAAGCGGTGACACAATTGAATTTGAGGCATAACTGGTGACGCCATCAGTTGTCAAACCTCTTACATAGATGGTTCGCACATATCTAATGATAATTTTGATCTTCGACCAATGAGCCAATTTAATTTTGAAAGTGTAAGTTCAATTTGTTTTATTTTGGCCACGATGAGCGGCTTCCAGGTTAATCTGCGATCCATGTGAATACCCAAGTACTTGACTGTGTCTTTGATTGGTATTTTTCTTTTATTTATGTACACAGCTTGACAATTTGACTTATTAAGTGTGAAGGTAATATGAGTTGACTTCGTATCATTAATTTTGATGCGCCATTTTTTTGTCCAGGTCGCTATTTTATTGATATGATTTTGTAGGAAATTAGAAGCAAGAGTAAAATTTTCATTGCTGGCCAAAATCGCAATGTCATAAGCAAAAGCAGCAGCGGTAGAGCTCGTCATGGTTGGAAAATCACTAGTATATGTAAGGTACAAAAAAAGACCCAAAACACTTCCTTGCGGAACACCTGATTTTATTGGAAAATGTGATGATGATTCACAATTATTTCTAACTTTATACCATCTGTTAGTTAAGTACGATTCCAAAATTTTATGAAAGCAAGCCGGCAGAAACCATTTAATTTTTGCTAAAAGGCCTTCATGCCATACTTTATCAAAAGCCTGGCTTACATCGAGAAACACTGCTGAGCAGTATTGTTTGCATTCGAAAATTTTGTGAATTGAATTCACAATTCTGTGGCACTGTTGGATTGTTGAATGCTGCTTGCGAAATTCAAGATAAGATAAAATTGTCCTGAAAGATAAGAAAAATGAAAGTACACGATGCTTCAGTTGTATTCTCTCAGCGTATCCTCAATGATGAATAGATATGCTACTAAACAGTATGAAAAAATATTGTTTACTGTATTTTATTGTCATTATATTGTGATTTAATCATATTTTAGATGATAAAACACCAGAGTTAATATATCTGAGAGATGAGTTTTGGTTTGCTAGACTAATATAGAATTTTCTGTCAGTAAGATATGATTTTAATATTAAGAATAATTGTGCAGTTAAATTATTCTTTAATTTATGAATTAATCCAGCATGCCAAGCTATATCAAAGGCTTGGGATATGCCAAGGAAACAAGATGGGCAGTACTTCTTTATCTGTTCGACGATTCTATGTGTTTGTTCTATAGTGGAATGTACTTTCTAAAACCGATTTGATAATCCGGGATTATAGATTTATCATAGAGTGTTGTAAGAACTTTTTTAAGCAGAAGTTTCTCAAATATTTTGGATAGGGTTGATAGTAAGCTTATAGGTCGATATGACTTCATTAGACATGGATCTTTATCTGTTTTAGGAATTAGAATCATTTTAGCTATTTTCCACGCCTTGGGAAACACTTTTAATCTCAGGATAGAGTTGAAAATTATATAGGTATATTGTTATATACCTCAGAGTTTTTGGTGTGAGCTTTGGCTACTGAATAATAATAAGTCATTAATTTCTGAAACCATTTTAATCGTCTTGTACGGATGTCAAAAATTGAGTAAAAATATAAAACATATGTTCCAAAAAAATGTGCTGATAATGAGGTTTTGAAGAAGCGATATACCTTTGAGTTACAGGAC